CTTAAAAATTAGATACACTGTCCATATAGATTCACTCTTCATATTTTTGGACAGTGAATCTAACTTGTAAGTGTTTGAAAATTCTGTGTACAAGTTAAGTATTTATTCTTTTGCTGACAGGTTCAGCCATCTGTCAATATTCTCAACACCAAGCGTAATCCTAGTAATCTGAAGATGCCCACCCATTTCTTAACTGCCAACTGTTGCAAATGAAGAGTATCTGCCTTAACTATACTGGAATTAAATTAAGACTTCCCATCCAAAATTATTTTACCCCCTAAATTATGTTTATTCTTTTTATATTAATATTTTTCCAACAACCTTATTTTTATTCTTGTGCAAATTATATTAAAAGAACCAACTTGCTAATATCTGTAACCAATGAAAATTTTTCAAAAAATTAGGGGATAAACAGTCAAATCCAATACACTAATTTCACCTTTCCTGACAAATCAAAGCATTTTACATTAGTAAGTGCATATATTCAATACTTCCAAAGAGACTTATAATTCACAGACCAAAATACTTTTGACCATCTAGCAAAGATGGCATGTGGCTGCATATGGCTTATATGAAAGAATTATGATATCAATTTACTCAATAAATGCTTACCAACTTAAGTCTAACCTCAACATTACTGATATCCTTGATAGCAACTGCACTAATTTCAAAACTAACAGATAAAAAGCAACTGTAAAACAGAACTAGGTATTTACTAAAATCATTACTGACCCCAATCTCACAAGGTGATACAAATGTCTTAAATCACCATCCTTAGAACAAATCCTAACACCTCCCTTAATGAATTCAGTCCACAAAAGAATTCTATGACTATACTTAAAATCAAGTTTATCTAAGAAGGGGGTTGGGGGAAGAGAAAGAATAAGAATGAGGGTTCTATGAAATAGAAAAATTCAGAATCTAATGGAGTCTTAAAAAAACAAACAAACTGATACCAAATAAATTTCTTATACTACATTAATAACATATATTCTGGAAGCTAAATCCTTATAGTACAGCCAAGACCTAATATTTCAAATAAGTAAAAAACTGTTATATGCATACACACTTCTAAATCTCTCTTTACAAACTCCAATTTCACATATAATATTAATATAAAAACATTTCCCATACTTTTGTCTTACTAAAAAGGCTGAGGTAAAAATTTAAAAATAGAATGTTTACTGAGTGTCAATTAACGTTGAAACTTTGTGAATTGATTTTCCCATAATAAATACTCCTCCATCAAAAGTCACTGAAGTGATTACTTCTTAAGGGCCTTAAAAATTACTTAAAAGTATTAAGCTATCACCAAATGAAAAACAGCAAATGGGGCAAATCTCAAAATAAGAACCCTTGAAAGAAAGAATTGAAGACTTCACTTCCAAAAAGCAAGGAATTTTGCAACATTAAGAGGTTAGTACATTATGTGTGGTTATTAGGAAAAAGTAGGTAAATTACTCCACACAAAAAATTAAAATAATATCCCCAGCTACCATTCTCATGTTGTTAAAATTCTTAAAGGTAATACACACAAATGCAACTTTCTCTACTATCTTTGGAAAACTGAATTTAAAATTAAGGTGGTTATATCTCACCATATTTTATCATAGTATTCCTTTAGCATTTTAGTACATCATAAACAATGTTAAGCTGCATTGATGACAACTACTGTGCAAATATTTACAGTAGACAGCAATAAAATTCCTTTTTCCTTATATTGAATCATATAAACTGTAAGTTACTCAATCCTTTGAGATGCACTTTATTCTTAAATAATCTATATGAAATAAAGTTTGTCAATTATCACATAGCAATTAGGTGGCCCACTTATGTTGTTTAGGAAAGAAATACAACTTGATACATAACAGTGTAAAATAAAAGTTGTGAGTAGAATCTTAAAAAAAAACAAAACTCACAATACGGTCATTTTAGTAATCACTAATCTTAAGAGATAATACAGCTAATTTCAATAGCTACTGTACTCTCTACAAGTTAAAAATATTTCCTATGAAGGTTACTATTTGAAAAGACACAAACTTATCAAACAATGAAAATACCAGAAGCCTCAAGTTTTCATGAAATCTAAAGAGATTAAATAGTTTATAGAGTCATGTTCAGCACTACTTTCCAGACTAACATTAAGAATAAAACCCTGCCAACAAATTATTTTTAGAATAATTCAATTTTGCAAAAATCTTTTACAATTATGGTCTTCAATTTTTCTTTGAGAAATCACTTCACTGTTAATCTTTATCAACTAAAATACTCCAATTGCTACTTTCATAAAAGAATTTAACTTTCAACTGGCTAGCTGTTGAAACAGATCCTACAATCTGCCAGAGAAAAGCTTCAATGGCCATTTTAATTCCCACCCCCCCCCCCCCCACAATAAACACAAAACACTAAAGTGAAACCAAGCAAACCAAAGTTTTTGTATATCAAAATTATTGGAAGTGGAACTATCCAAAAAAAGCCCTTCACTGACTTTTTCCTAAGTAATTTTTTTCATATCAACATTTGGCTCAATAAAACCACAACTCTAGAAATTAAATGTTATTAGTCATTTGATGCAATATTTGATACTGCTTTCTATGCATTCCATAACTAAATATACAGTTTTAGAGAAAGTTTTAGAGAAAATTTCACACATATAGGCACACATGCTCTGAAATGAAAGGAGAAATAGCCAACCACCTCACCACTCACATATAAATACCGGGTAAAATAATTTTAGTTTTATAATCCTAATAATTTTAAATCAAAGTACAAATAGCATAAACGAACTTTGTGTACCAAAAGGCATTCTATACGTTTTTTTGAATGGGCTTTTTTTTAAAAGTTAAACATTTAATTAATTTGTTCTTATATATCTAGATGACTGTCAATGACACACACATTTGAAATGTTACAAATCAGAAGAGTTTTCCTACAACTAATTATTTCTAGGCAAGTGGGTCAAATTCAGCCTTAATGAAGTTCTTCAATTAATGCAACCTCCAAAATTCCAATTATCTTTTCAATATTATTTTTAACTTAGAAAACAACATTTTGAGTGTTGTAACGCTATTTTTTCAAGAACTTTCATCATTTCAAAACAAAACCTGGGCAAAATTAGCTGTGCACATTTATGTGAAACTACATATCCAAAGGAATATAACTTCTTCAAATATAAAATGTTTTCTTTAAAAAAAACCTTCCCCATAATATTTAGCAGGACATATACACGTTAGTGTCATTCTACCTTAAAGCAAAATGTTTACTGACATTTGCTAAAATCATTTTTACTAAGAATACTCCATTAGCACTTAAGCAATTACATAATTTTAACTAACTACTGTCCACTGCTACAATTCACACCACCAAATTTTTGGCCTTAATCGAATGTTTCAGTCACCTCAAACCAATAACTTTATTCTGTTTTCTCATGCCTTATACACTGGCCTATCAGTAACTCTCAATCCCTGTGATACTTTCCATTCTAAAAAAAAAAAAAAAAAAGGAGGGGCTCTATCCCCATCCTTGATCAAAACCAGTTTGTTATATCTGAAACTGCAAAGATTACTGCCTTTTGATAACCACTATCTGTTCTAAGTACAAAGGCTTAACTTTTAGACAATCAAAACTATACACTACACCCTTAAAATTTCTTGGGCTTCTGTCTTATTCAACAAGCTGACTCAGTAAATTTAACACTGAAAAAAGCTAACATACCTACCATCTGAAAAGCAGGAGAAATCCACTCTCACCAGCATTTCTGGTTATTAGCTGGTAAATTATACTTGACATCCTACACGAGTCAGGGTAAATTTAAGGGATTCAGAAAGATGTCAGAGGGCCTGAAACCTAAATAAGGTTGAGTAGCAATTCTGGCATCACCATACTTAAATTTCAAGTGAGAACTTAAGTTTAATCTTTGCAATCACCATTTGCTACACACAATCCCTTGAACCTACACATTATTATCTGGGATCAAAAACCACTCAATCTCCATTCTATTAGGTGTAACAAGAGCACTGAATATAAAATACTACTTGAACTGCAAATTTCATGCTCTATCCTACATCACCCCATCAGGAGAGAAAAGGCAAATTTAACAAAGATCTAGGAAGAGCACCTTCTGAGGTATATTATGGCACTATTCACCTCAAAGGACAAAACTTCTACATGCAGGTCAAAGTTGCCATTAACTTAGCTTAAACATGCAAACCCCACTTTTGCCCTCCCATGAGCACCATATAGACTGCAAATGATTCTGCTTCTAAAATTATGCAAATCAGCTCACAGCTCACATTTTTTCAAAAGAATCTATCAAGGCAACCCAGGAAACTAAGCACAATCACTGCAAGATTCTGATGCAATATGCGTACGTGCAACACTAATTTTCATCTTAATCTGGTCTTATACCCTTGATCTGGGGCCTCCAGCCAAGATTTAATCGAAACATGCTCGACCTCAAAGCGCCTACTTTTCTGTTCATTTCGTGGACCGGCTCCCCAAGCTCCCTCCTCCCTAAGAGCGCACTGTATTCTGCATTAACGGACAATAGCCTTTAGGGAAGAGACCCCGTAGATATAGAGACCGAGAAACCAACCGGTGCCTTGACACTTGCAACCAGGCAAGCGTCCCGTCTAGCCGAACACATCCCCAGGTTGAATGCATTCAAAAGAGACACAATATATATATATATATACATTTTTTTAAAAATCTAGAAATTCGACCGGGGTTCAGTGCAATAGTCACCCCAACTATGGCAATGTCTCGCCTCCGTCTACTCCCACGTTCTAAAGGGAGAGAGGGTGACAGAAAGGCACAGGGGAGCCGCCGCAGAAATGGATACAGGTCAAGTCTAAGTCGAATCCATCCTCTTGGTATCTCCTTTTGTTTCTGCTAACGATCTCCTTGATGATGGCTGTCATGTCTGGGAGCCGGTGGCTGAAGAAGAAGGAGGAGAGAGACGGCAGGAGCGGCTGGTGCGAGGCTTCTTCTGCAGGATGGAAATGGCTTTGGACTTGGCGTCCGTGGAAGCCCCTCGCTCGGCGGCCGCGATGATCAGGACCGCAGCCGGGTACTGGCTGCTGCAGGGGCTCAGTATTCTGCAACGTCGGCAAGAAATGCTTTTCTTCTACGCCCGATATCTGGGCGCCCCAGCATCGTAATGGGGAAAAAACTGAACAG